GGGGGGGGTACTGCAGCTGCCGCTGGAGGGGGAGGAGCCGCGGTGGCGCCGCCGTGCTGCGTGCGCGCAGTGCGGGCACATGTCTCGGGGGGAGGGGAGGCCCGGGGCCCCGGCGGCGCGCTGTGGCGGCTCCGGGCCGCGGTATTGTGCAAGGCGCGCCGGGCTCGGCGTGACGTCACTTCCGGCGGGCGGGGCCGGGCGGGTCCAGCGGCGAGCAGTACAATGCGGCCGCGGGAGCGCGGGCCCGGGTGGGGGAGGGGAGTGCGGGCGGGGCGCTTCGGCCCCTCCCCCCTTCCTGAACTCTCTCTGGGATACACGTGGGCTTCGGGCCTGGGCCGCGCTAAGTTTTCATTAGCTTTTTCGAATATTCGAGTAGGCTGGCGAAATTAGCAATGTCCTTAGACTGCGTCACTAATTCTAGTCCAGTTCCAAGCGGGTTTTTCTTTGAATTCTCGTTTGAGTCGTCGATTGAAAACATTTAAAAAAATGAACGGGGAAAGTCGAGCTTTTGGGGGGCGTCAAAACAGAATAGGTTTTTTTGTTTGTTTTGTTGCGGCGTGGTGTCTTATAAAGGGGTGTCGTGTGTTGTAGGAGACGGCAAAACAGAACAGAAAGGCGGAGATAAAAAGAGAGGTGTTAAAAGACCTCGAGAAGATCATGGCCGTGGCTATTTTGAGTACATTGAAGAGAACAAGTATAGCAGGTAGAGGATGCTAACGTAGTGTTACTTGTCACTTGTTCTTTATGCTTTGGTGGGGAAAGCTGTATCAGGAGACAATTCTGTCTTTCAGAGCCAAATCTCCTCAGCCACCTGTTGAAGAAGAAGATGAGCACTTCGACGACACAGTTGTTTGTCTTGATACTTGTAAGTGAAGCTGTTTCTCCCCCAATTGTCAAATGTGGGTTTTGGTTACAAAATATTAGAAAACTTAACACGTGTAAACAGCTGTTTTAAAAGTAGGAAGATGATGGCTTATATTCAGATTCTGGTCACTTAATATTTAGTACAGTAGTTGTATTGGTAATTTTACAGGCTCTAACAATTTGATGTTTTTTGGTATGGCTTTAAAGTTCTCATTTGTAGGAATGTGAAATTAATGCCAATATTTGACTGTCTAGCTAATGGAAACTTGTAAGACTACTTATAACTTGTCCATTTAGGCTTCTACGATAAAGTAATGTCATTTTTTTGTGGAATTATGTTAAGTGAGCTCTTTGAGCTAGTTAAATATTAATGGCTTTTCCATTAGCACGCCATTATATTCCCTTTTCTAAAAGATTGTAATAATACTTTTTCAATAACTGCTCTTTTGTTCTCAATTCCAGTTCAGTAGCTGCTGCTTTAAGCTAAGTTGATTTCTTCCAAAGACCTGGGGCAGCAGCAGTGGGCTATCACTGGGCCACTAGCTTTCTTCAGCAGCGAATGGTATCAATGGCAGCGCTGTAAATACTGCTACTTTACCCAGTTGGGTTGCAATTGAGTATGAGGAAGTATTGCAAACCTCTAAATGGGCCTTGGCTGTCAGACTCCTAGTTTTTCTAATACAAAAAAAAAAAATCATTTATTTGGTGTTGTGATCAGAAAGTACAATTCTTTCTGTGATAGAACAAAGGGTGGAAATAATTGCTTAGAGGTAAGGTGTCAACTTATCCTGTAGATCTAAGGAGTTGAAGCTTAGAGTCTCATGTTTTGGAATACGTATGGTTTTTATTTAGATGTGTAAGGCAGTGTAAATATAAGTCTTGATTTCTTATTGCATACGCTTTACCACATAGTTGAGATAGTGGAGTGTTTTTTTTTTTTTTTTTTTTTTTAAAAAAGACTTGCCCATGGAAGCGTAGTTGAATGTTTTACGTTAAATTCAGTTGCTTAAATATTGGCGAGATACTGAAGCAATGATTCGGCAAGGTAATGCTATTATAAAAGGCTTTTAGCTCCTCACCTAGGGATATCAATTTAAGTGCATTATTGGGTTCAAACACAATTGGTTGAATTGAAAATTCTGTTAGTGATGATCGGGAATAAAAGAACAAAGCTAATTTAAGGAGAATTTCAAACTGTAGATTTAATTTCATATCACCAGTAGCTTTCTAACTTAAGTGCTCCCTTGGCTGAGAACTCAGAAGGTGCATGCTAATGAGCCAGTGACCCAAAGGTAGCTAGGTTAAAGAAGTTTTGGATTTGGATTATTCCAAAGTGTGTAATCCCCCATTGTTATTGATTAACAGGCAAGTCTGGGGAAAGGGGACCTAAAATGCTGTAGTAGTAACAGCATTAGATGACCAGGTTTGTATTTTGCAGATTGAAACTGCCTTAACAAGTTTTAGCAAACAATTTAAGATCTAGAGCCCCTGTAAAGTGCAGGATCAACAGCTCATACTCGTATTTTAAAATACGTGATCATGGCCTCCCTTCAGTTTTATTGTGGCACTGGTAAATTCTACCTGGTCTGGCATGCTTCACTTTGATTTCCTGCTATCCTCTACTGCTTGCCTCTAAATCAAGGTAAAGAGCAGAGCAGGTATGTATTAATGTCACATTGTCTTGATTATTTTATATACTTAAAATACACATACTAAACCTCGATATTTGTTAGTTGCACAGGTAGTGTATGCTCTAGTTCATAATTTGGCAAGAATTGACTTGGTGGGAGCGGGGCTTGAACTGAAAATTCGAACAACAGCATGATCTGTAAAAATGTATGCAACATTAAGAAATATGAGAAAATTTAATAAAGTTTTGTCTACATAGCAGATACATTTATATTGGATATCAAAAGAAATAATATGGTATTTGATATAATTGCAGATAATTGTGATCTACATTTTAAAATATCAAGAGATCGCCTCAGTGCTTCTTCCCTTACTATGGAGAGTTTTGCTTTTCTTTGGGCTGGAGGAAGGGCATCCTATGGTGTGTCGAAAGGCAAAGTCTGTTTTGAGATGAAGGTAAATGCAATTTTGTGATGATGTCTTTTTTTTCCTTAAGAACCTTTGTGAGTTTTTCCCTGACACTTAGATGTCACTGGAACTTGTAATTTTTCAAGTTTTTGTGGGACTTGGAATCTATGATTTGTAACAGTTTAGGATGTTTGTTATATTAGAAGTTGCCATATAGAGCCAGCCTAATTTTTATTTAGGGTGTTCATTTTTTATCAGGCACTTGAAAGGCCCACCATGGGTTTGAAAATAAATTTGGTTAGGCTCCTGTTTTTGTTCCAGAGAAAAAGCGTGTTAAATGAATACTTTAGTTGGTTTTGAGTATCGAGAACATGTAATTGCAACATTTTCTTTTAAACGTGAATTAACCAAGTACTTAACCATTTTCCGTTTCAAGTTAAAAACCCTTACATCAGTTGTTAAAGTTCTTGTGAATGTTAGGGGGAAGAGTAGAGTTGGTGTCTTTCTGTACTTTGTAGCTGGAGAAAAATTAGCCCATTGCCCGAATGAAATAAACCAGCGTTGGTTCAGTGGTTTATTTTCCTTCGTTTACAGTTTAATCATTTATGATTTGACTTCCAGGTTACAGAGAAGATCCCAGTAAGGCATTTATATACAAAAGATATTGACATACACGAAGTTCGGATTGGCTGGTCACTAACCACAAGTGGAATGTTGCTTGGTAAAGTTTCCATTTGAGTATCTATGTACTCATGAGTGTTCAGGGTTTGATTTCAGTAGTTAGACTAGAAGGCATTCTAAACTTTTTGCCTGTTTTTAGAGATGAATAATAATAACATGGACACTGGCTAAAGTTTAGCTTTTCTGTCTTTGTGGTTACTTGGTTTATGACTGATAGTTGAAATAGAATATTATCCATGGTATGCAATTTGTCAACTAGTTATATAACCACCTACCTCTCGTTAACTTTATATGTAGTATAAAGTCAGTATACTTTTGAACCCTACATCTGGAATGTAAAAAGTACGTGGGTCATTGGACTTCTGAAAAACTGATTTCATGAAAGTTAATTATTTTCTTAGGTGAAGAAGAATTTTCTTATGGGTATTCTCTAAAAGGAATAAAAACATGCAGCTGTGAGACTGAAGATTATGGAGAGAAGTTTGATGAAAATGATGTGATTACATGTTTTGTTGTAAGTCGTAGCTAAATTTCTACATATAAATAGCAAGTTAGTAGATAAAAGTATTTTAACATCATATCACTGTCAGTTTTCAATACTAATTCATTTTGACTGAAAACTACTTAATGTGAAGTTGATCCGAAAATCTAGTCTTTTAGGGCAATATTAATTTCTGCTTGTGGATATAGGTGTTCTAGTTGTATATAACCAAATGTTAACCAAAGCTCTTTAACATATAACCTAAATATGTTTTCTACAGGATAAAGCTTCACTCCTAACTTGAATTTTGAAGTTTTGTTTTTAAAGAAGTGTTATAAGAAGATTAAAACCCATTAATTTTTTTCTCCAATTAACAGAACTTTGAAAGTGATGAAGTAGAACTCTCCTATGCAAAGAATGGACAAGATCTTGGCATTGCCTTCAAAATCAGTAAGGAAGTTCTTGCTGGACGACCACTCTTCCCGCATGTTCTGTGCCACAACTGTGCGGTTGAGTTTAATTTTGGTCAGAAGGAAAAGCCATATTTTCCAATACCTGAAGACTATACTTTTATCCAGAATGTCCCCTTGGAGGATCGAGTTAGAGGACCAAAGGGGCCTGAAGAGAAGAAAGATTGTGAAGTAAGTCACTTTAAAAAAAGAATTTTGAAGGTTGCTTTTGCTTGGCAAAAATAACATCTAGAAGAGTTGGAAGGTTGCTCTGTTTAATTTACTGACTGCCATACATGTTGTTCCCATTAAAAGGCTGTGAAAGTTCAGATATGTAAACTGGGCTTTTGTGCATTTAAAAAAAATATTTAAAGAATTCTTTCCATTGTAGGTGGTTATGATGATTGGCTTGCCAGGAGCTGGAAAAACTACCTGGGTTACTAAACATGCAGCAGAAAATCCTGGTAAATACAACATTCTTGGAACAAACACCATAATGGATAAAATGATGGTAAGTAAATGGGGCATGATTTCAGCATTTTTAAGACTAGAAGGTATTCGGGGTAACCGTTTTGTCTGTCTTTATTCATTTTGTTAGTATCTTAGAGATAGGAGTTCGGACAGTTAAATTGGTTATTTAAGCAGGCTCTTTACTTGTAAGGTAAACTGCCTTCCAATGGCTAGCTTAGGCTTCCTTCTCTTTTCTATAGAAGGTTTTGGATTTGGACTATCCAGTAGCTAAAAATGAATTGAAGGCACTGGGTGTTGTTACAGGATAAACTATCCTTTTCTGTAGCAGTGAGAAAAGGCAATATTTAAATTTTGAAACTTTAACTTTTAAAAATAGGTGGCAGGTTTTAAGAAGCAAATGGCAGATACTGGGAAACTAAACACGCTGTTGCAGAGAGCTCCACAGTGTCTTGGAAAGTTTATTGAGATTGCTGCCCGTAAGAAGAGAAATTTCATTTTGGATCAGGTAAGCTGCAGCTTTGAGATTGAAAAAAGTAACTGATAATTATAGAATTAATGTTTGGGGTTATAAACTTTTTTTTTTTTTTTTTTTTTTAAAGACAAATGTGTCTGCTGCTGCCCAGAGGAGAAAAATGTGCCTGTTTGCAGGCTTCCAACGAAAAGCTGTTGTAGTTTGCCCAAAAGATGAAGACTATAAGCAGAGAACGCAGAAGAAAGCAGAAGTAGAGGGAAAAGACCTACCGGAACATGCAGTCCTCAAAATGAAAGGCATGAAATTTATTTCTACTGTTACGTTAAATATCCTTCTGTGATTTATATCTGTGAACTTAAATTTTGTGTCAGTAATACTGTTACAGGAGTTAACTGTAAATGAGTATACTTCACTTGTTTAAGAAAATGTAATTAAGACATGAATAGATATTGTATGCTTTGCAGGAATTAAGCTGCTTGAGAGTTGTAGGCTCTAGGATTGTGAGTGTGTATGTAGTGGGTTTGTGGGTTAATATGATTTAATGTTTTGTAGGAAACTTTACTCTGCCAGAAGTAGCTGAGTGCTTTGATGAAATAACGTATGTTGAACTTCAGAAGGAGGAAGCCCAAAAACTTTTGGAGCAATATAAGGAAGAAAGCAAAAAAGCTCTTCCACCGGAAAAGAAACAGAACACAGGCTCAAAGAAGAGCAATAAAAATAAGAGTGGCAAGAACCAGTTTAACAGAGGTGGTGGCCATAGAGGGCGCGGTGGATTCAATATGCGTGGTGGAAATTTCAGAGGAGGAGGCAAGTTAATTTTGAGTATTATTTATTTGGTTCAATGTTGAAACAAGTGGTGATCTGTAATCTTCTAGTTTGGGTCTGTATGTTTTTCTGCTGAATTTAACATAGGAAGTTTTTGATCCTCATGTCCTAGCTGTCTTAGTAACAATAGTAAAATACTTTATGCGATTTGATGGTAAACACACCTAGGTTACTTTGAATGGTTAAATTAAACATTTTTTTCATAAAATAAAGGAATGGTCCAGAAGGAACCCTAAGTCGTGTATAAAGAAGGTAACAACACACTATTAAATGAAACGTCTCTTGTTTTAGCTCCTGGGAATCGTGGTGGATATAATAGGAGGGGCAATATGCCACAGAGAGGTGGTGGCGGTGGCGGAAGTGGTGGAATTGGCTATCCATATCCTCGTGGCCCTGTTTTTCCCAGCCGAGGCGGTTATTCAAACAGAGGGAATTACAACAGAGGTGGAATGCCTAACAGAGGGAACTACAACCAGGTAATGATTTAAGATCCCTGTATATACTGTTTCTCTGTATAGTTCAGTCTGGAAAGTTAAAGGCATGTGTTGCGCAGCCTCAGAAAGAGTTACGAACACGGCATGTACACATAGTGATGGTAAAATGAGTCAATTTCATTTATATTGATTTTTCAGGTGCATTAACTAGCAACAAGTCAGGGGATGTCTCATAGCGAATAAGTTAATCACCTGAGAGCAAACGCAGCAGAGAGTGCTCAGAGGTTAATGGCTGACTGGCAATCTTACCTGTTTCTGTGGCTGTGTCTCCTCTTGTCCCCCTGCCCCATATACCAACCTAACAACTTGTGCTCTTAAAGGTTTTTTTCTTTTTTGTAGAACTTCAGAGGACGAGGAAACAATCGTGGCTACAAAAATCAATCTCAGGGCTACAACCAGTGGCAGCAGGGTGTAAGTAATTCCTTATGTGCTTTTTTTGTACATTTAATTGTATTTTGAATTCATAAGAGTCAATCTTGAAAAAAGATCTTGTCCAGGGATTGAAGTGTTTATAAGTGTTACAGGGCAAGGTGTGAATTGTGTTGCAGTTGTAGCCATAATATCTTTTGAAGGCAAAATAGGTTGGAGTTTGCTGTAACCTAATATTTTAAATAAAATAGTATTTAATACATATGGTTCTTTTTACTGCTAGCCTTAATTGTATAAACTAACCAAGTCATAATGTGTTTCCTTTTGTAATGTGTATTGATAATGGGATATTAATACCAACTAAATCTGGCTTGATAAATCAGAGGTATGACAGGTATAAATTTGTCTCCAGCAGTTACTCTGAATTAGATTGTCATTTCCTAAAAGCAATTTGAGTGGCTTATTGATGTTTTTTCTTTAAAAAAAAAATTTTCTCTTACAGCAATTCTGGGGTCAGAAGCCATGGAGTCAGCATTATCACCAAGGATATTATTGAATACCCAAATAAAACGAACTGATACATATTTCTCCAAAACCTTCACAAGAAGTCGACTGTTTTCTTTAGTAGGCTAACTTTTTAAACATTCCACAAGAGGAAGTGCCTGCGGGTTCCTTTTTTAGAAGCTTTGTGGGTTGATTTTTTTTTTTTCGTTTCTTTTTTGTACATTTTTAATTGCAGTTTTAAAGTGAATCGTAAGAGAACCTCAGCATTGTGCACGATAAGAGAATGTGTCAGTATTTCAGGGTTCTACATTTTATCTGTAAAATGTGACTTTTTTTTTTATCACAACAAAAGTAAAATGTTGCTTTGTACCTGGTGTCTTTTATTAAGAATTTACTCCCCCCATTTCTCAGAGATAACAGTCGGGAGTTATTGTCACAATATAATAGAAATGTTAGCAACCAGATTCATGTAAGGACTAAGTGGTCCTCATGAATTGCATAAGACTCTGTACTGCTCGTATTACACTCCATCCTCTCTGTAGTTTGCTGAGTAGTGGAGGGGTAAGCTAAATAGTAGTTTTTGACAGTAACTGGGAAGGCTCTTTCTTTCTAAGTAACAATGCAATTGGCATATTTGGGAATGAAGATAAAATTTGGAACTAAGATAGAGAAGATGGAGTGTATGTAGAAGGGCTGTTAAAAATGTAAAACTTGGTTGCGTTATTTGTGGAGGCTCAAACTTGTGAAGGTTAAATACCATAATTTTTCCATTTGTTCTGCATTTTGATTCTGAAAGAAAGCTGTTGCGTTATTTGTGGAGGCTCAAACTTGTGAAGGTTAAATACCATAATTTTTCCATTTGTTCTGCATTTTGATTCTGAAAAGAAAGCTGGCTTTGCCCATTTCTTATTAAAAAAACTTGTTGTAAATCCAGTTGTCTAATGGGATCTATATGAAGTTAGCTATGTCTGTATGCCCTTCTCCCACAAAATACTGTATAACTAGTGTGCTTGTAGTAGTTAACTCCACCATCATTGTAAGCTAATGAAATTGTGAGTCACCCATTTATATCTTAATTTTTAATCATGTCAGTTCTTGAATGGGTATCTCCTTAGCCTGCTGATTTCTTTTTCTTTCTAAAGAAAGTGGGTGGAGAAATTAATTTAGACGTTTGTTTGCAATAAAAAGAATTCATTTTACTCTCGTTTTGGGATTCTCGCCATCAAGGTTCAAAATCCCTTTATGAAACTCCCAAGAGGAGAAAATTTAAGTGTGTGCTTTCTGGACAGCTTATTCTCTGTACTTGGAACATTTAGGTTTTAAAAACTTAAATGTATACTGACAATTGACTTTTTAAATTATGAAGTAAAGTTGAATGCTTCCCTTCCCCTCCCCGCCCAGATGACTTTTAACATTTAATGAGGGGAAAAGGTACTGGCTGGGAGAAGTTAACACTCAGTTTATCATCTTTACAAAATGCTAATGGCTGTCCTCAACTGATAATTATATATACATCTGTATAATACATGAAACTCTGGGAACAGATGCTTTTAGAAGCCATCATGCAAGCCAGTCATTACTACACAACACTGCTAACTTAACTGTAGTTATGTGATAACATTAGATCCCCTAATTGTAATTTTATTGGGTTTGCACAGAACACTTAATCTTCTAAAGGACCCTCACTCATGTGAGGTGAGGAATCAGGAGTCAAACTGTAGAACTAAAACTTGACATCAGTTTAGTGTTTCATTGGTGTTTTAGGTTGCTTCTGGTAAGTATAGGTTTGTTTATATTTCTGACTGCTTAGATTTTTGTTTTAGCCATTTAAAATCAGATTTTTAACTATTTATACTCCTAGGAATTTTCTTGCTAAAAGATGAGCTGGAGCTGAGTTTCAGATGATGGTATAGGTTCAGTTGAGAATTTTTTGGCCTATAACCCTACAATTACCATAGGAATACTTAACAGTACAAGATAGTGCCTCAGGGGCTTTTGTCTTTTTAGCAATTAACTTAATGCTAGCAACCATTTGCATGAGTCTGCTTTTCAGTATACATCAGTATTACTGGGGTTGTATAGACTTAATGGGGGTGGGGAGTAAGGTTTGTTGCTAATCAGTGTTTGTGTCCTAAATGTTTAGGTGCTATTGAAAAATCTTGGATATACCTTCTAGCTTAAAATTGCTTATTAAAGAATTCATATTCTAATCATCGCAGTGGGAGAGTAATGGCCAAGTGACATTCGGTAGGCTGTCATGCCTGTGTAGCACAGAAAATTTTGGGAAGAGAGATGGGTTAGATAAAAATGTTGCCCAGGAAAATGTTAAGTTTTAAGAAGCAGTTTCAAGGTCAGAATTAATAGTAACATTTGCATTTGTATGAAGTGACATAATCCTAGAGAGTATTTAAGAAATTAAGAAGAGGGAGTGCACCATATAGCAAATAAGAGAAAAAAAAGTTGATTCCAAGTTTGGCAGAACGAGATCTGTAAGTGAGAAACTTGATTTTATTGTTCACCCCTTCCCTTGCCTACCTCCCCTCAATGGCAAGCAAAACACTGAATAAACAAAATTTATCTGAACAGATGTCCCAATTATACCCTGAGAAAACTCACCTGTGAGATTACTCTTGGTTTAAGGGGTGCTTTCACTAGAAACTTTTGCATATAGTTACTTAATACCTATCATCCTGAGGCAAGAATTGGATTAGATTGGTTACTAAGATGTTAATCAGGAAAGAACAGAAAGTGCTTTAAGTTAGAAATCATAAAGTAACTGGAACTGTAAAAAGTTTTCTTTGTTGCTGGTAGGTTACGCCTTGTTACTCCTATCTAGCCTTTGGTGGCTGGCTCTGGCTCAGACCTAGGAGGCTGAGACCAGCTTCTGGCCCTGATACCCAGACAGCAAGATGAAATCTTGAAAATGAAGTATGAGTCAAATCAATTTGACATTGAAGTGACAAAAAGAAGCCATATTAAATCTAGGAAATGATAAGCTGTCATTTGCCTAGGATCCTGTCTGAAAATAAATACGGAACTAGATGTCTTGAACACCAACAAGATTTTAAAGCTTCTTAAAGACAGTTTTCCTTGAAAAGATACTATTTTCGAGGAAAGGTAACTCGGTAGTATTTCTTTTTCATCTCCTGTGGAGTTTACGTTCATGGACAGACTGTTTTGTATTCGCCTCAGTTGTGGAAATTGACATTTTTCTATGAACTTTTACTTAATATAAATAGGCTTTTATCCTAGGATTGTTTTTTATAACCCGTCCCATTGCACAAATGAGGAAACATTTTGATAGTTTGTAAGGCAGTGGTGTAGACATCTTTCACATGTAAACAATCTGTAAGGGTATTTCTGATGTGCTTTAAAAGCCTAAACCAGAATAAACTTACTAAGGAAGGCATAAACTTGTATCTTCAGTCCAAGTCGTAGTTGCTGGTATTAGACATAAAACACATCTTAAAATCATTAGTTTCCATAATTTCCTTCTTACACATTGAAATGGTTTGAATCTAAACTTGGTCATTGTTCATATTTCTGGGGCTCTAGACTTTATAAAAATGGGTTTAGGTTTTAACATTTTAGTAATAGTTAATGAAAGTAAGGGTTTATGTTAATGGCAATGGCCTGGCAATAAGTTGCAATGCTTAGTTTATGTATTGGAACTCTTGCTTATGCATGAGTTTTAAGGGACTGTTAAATTAGTGCTTTGAGTTAGAAGCTTACCAACTGCCTCATCTCTAAACAGCAATTTGGATTTATTAGGTTAAACCACAGTTTCTTCAAATCATTAATTGACTTAACTAAAAAATAGGTAAAACTGCAAATATCCTTGTGATGTGGAGAGCCTTTATCTTGGGTAATTTTCAGATGTGACTTTTTGGCCCTGTCATTGCACAACTTCTGTGCTAAAACATGCAGGTAATAGATCTAGCCAGTTCAGTGCTTGAGTTTTATTTAGGCTGCTCTAATCCCCAGTTCTTAACTTAGTACTACAGGTACATGTTTACAAGACATACAGTAAAATTACATTGTCCACCTAACTCCTGTTGAAGTGACATTTGTTTTATTAATCCATACTAATCTTGATGTTTAGAAAGTAAATCCTTAAGAATTTGGAAATGACCTACAGTACTGATGGATGTAGTATGTGTCCCCTAGTGTGTTGAGGTAGGAAAAAAATCAAAACCCAGCATCCCCAAGTATCTTAACATTAATCTTAAATTATAAACTTGTGGATTTGAACAGGAAATAACCTACCTTAACATATAATTTTTATATAGTTTGCTGATGAGGTATGCCATCTTATTTGGTGGTCACATTTAGTAAATTTCAACCATGCAGATAGCTGGATCTCAGAAAATAATAGCTTTAGGTAGGAGGGAAATGGCTAACAAAGATAAGTAGGCATATATACTTTCACATCTTAGCCGATTGACTAAAGATATAGGGTGATAGGATATGTTCAATTAGTTTGCCCAAGGAATTAGTCCATGCGGAATGGTAGACTGGAAATAGGTGGGAATATTACTCATAATGTTAACCAGAATTACTCAAAAAAATGTAACACCTGTAAATTGTGCAGTTAGGTTGGGAATGTGCTGTCCACCTGGGAAGCTGAATAAGTACAACTTTTTGGCATTATGTAGACAGTTGGTGCTTTCACTGGTGATTGTAGATCCAATATTAGGGGAGTAAATGTTGCAGATAACTGATAGGCCAGGACATCTGTAATCCGTTTGGTTAGGTGAGTTTTTGGGACAAGAACTTAATCGTGTGTTTAATGTGTAATCATTTTATCACCTAGGAGTATTACAATTTTTTTTCCTTTTCATGCCAGGAATCAACATATACTTGCATCTTGACAAGGAACAGGGGTTTTGCTTTTAAACAAAACTGGATCTGTGGGTATGAGAAACTATTATAGTTGAAAGTGATGTGGGAATACCAGTCCAGGCAAATGGAGAAATGTCTTATGGAAAGTTAATTTGTTCAGTTAATTTGTTCAAATATTTCAGTTAAAATCACAGCGCTACACCAGTGGCACAGCAGTTATTCCTGAGCATGCTCAGCTTGGGTATCTGCACAACTGGATGTTATGAAGGGACTACAGGCCTAGAAAGCTAGCATAGTGTTTAAAACCTGTAAACACTGAACTGTTGTGGCATGTTCTTTTCTGCCAGTCCTCTAATACTCCATTCTGTGATCTTACAAGAAATAAAATTAGTTTTGCCTAGTTAAGATATTTTATACTTGCCAAGCACTTGAGAAGCACTGCCACAAATTAGTATCAGCCAAAATTTTTTTTTTTTTTTTTAACAGCAAAAGCAATCAAGAACTTTGAGATGGCCACTGTAGACATTTAACTTGCGTGGCTTTCGTGAGAACGAAAAAAGAGATACAGAGAAAGTGAGATAAAGTTAATACCTCAGAAGAACAGTTGAAGCTTACTTGAATGATAGGATAACTTTGTACAGTAGTTGTTAATAAGGTATCCTTTCAGTTGTCTGTAGTTGAGGGAGATGGGAGAGTCACGGTCAAGAACAAAAGCTTCCAACTTACTTTTTTTTTTTTTGAAAAAATAAAAAATAATGTGCTGATTTAAATTTCATCTCCTTTTCCTTAGTCTGTCCATGTGAATGTGCTGTGTGGAAGAGTAAAAGGGTCCAAGTAAATGTGTTCCAGTGATTCCAATAGGTATTCCAAATTAATTGCTGCTTGTACATTTAACACGTGTTATACTGGGCTTCCAGAATCACCTTAATTAGAACTCCTTATTTTAAAAAGGCAGGGGAAAGGGAGAAATTAGTTAACTAGGTGCATAGATTTGTCTGTAACAGGAAAGAAAGGTTCTCTAGTATCTCCTTTGCATACCTGAAATGTGAGGTATTTGGTGGTATGTTAGCAATTGGTGGTCCTCTTGCATAGGTTAAAGGCAGTACATGCAAATAGAGCCAAGTCCCTTTAAGGTTAAATCCTTATTCTAATGGTTCAAATTCCTTCTATTTAATGGTATGTAAGACATTGTTTTCAATATCTTCCCTACTTGTAGAGTTGAAATACTTCCTTACAATATTCTAATACAAAGATAGCTAGGATACCTATGTCCTTGGGATCCCAAAATCTTTCTGCATCTGTATTAAATGCACACTTTTTGTTAGCTTATAATAACTTGGAAAATGATCTTTTTGGATAATGAAGTGATGTAAATTTTACATCAAAGTACAAAAAAATCAGGAAGTGAAATTTAAGACAAGGACTTTGATTATGCTAGTCCAGAGCATGTACTTTCTTGTTGCCCTGAAATTATTTAAAGACTTAATAAGAAGCTTAGAAGAAATCAGTTTTTCCCACTGCATACTTGAGAATAATGTATTTTGGTGAAGTGAGAGGACTTGGCTGCTGTACTGACTGAAAATATAACTACCAGGGTTTCCTCAGTGAAATACAGTTCTACTCTGTCAAATAAAAGCAATCTCTAAAAACTTGAAGAGCAGACAACTTAAGAGTAAAAGGTAAAAACTCAAAGCCATTTCTGTTCATTTGAGAAAAAACAAACTAGAAAGATGTTTTTAAAGCAAACTTAGAATTTAGATAGTAGAACACGTTTCATTTCACGTGACTAGTCCTTGTGGTCTAAGGGGGAAGACATTTTTATGAAAACTTAACCCTTTAAGAAACCAGTATATGCAAGTTTGAATCCCCTAAGGGTAGGCCATATATAATAGGTGTTTTACAACTTACAGAACTTAGTAAAAGTTATTCCTAGAAAAGTACAAAAGATAGCTGCCTGTTACGTCCGTGTGAACATTTAGTGAACAATAGAAACCTTTAACTTAGTACTTATAGTCACTGGTAGCTTTCTCAAGATAAAAATACTTGGAAAAAGTCATCTTTTAATCTCTAGAAAATAAAGAGTGGTTGAAAAGACTCAAATGTTTGCAACACTGATCAGTAGTGTTCACATTACGAACTTTAAAATGTAATACTTTATTAAACTAAGCTTTATTGTCCCTAAAGCTTGTCTTAAAAGAAAATTTAAATATGGAACTTAATGCACAAAAATAACCTGTGTAAGATACCAGTATTTGGGTGGTAGAGGATATTGTTATATATTATTACTGACCTGATTTGATGACCAATGGACCGTATTTTAAGATGCTTCCCAAAGATATTTTATTCTAGAGTACTATTAAAAACCACAGTTAAAGCAATCAGTAATTTTTCTACTTTCCTCATCAAGGTATTCTGCTTTCCCAAAGTAGTTTACGTTAACATCACTTTTAAAGGGGTGTCTTAATCCCCATCCACCACAGATTTTTACCTAGGAATAGAAGGATTCAAACCCTATTTGATCCCTAGCTTTTTGCTGAAAAGTGCATAAACAGGAATCCTGAATTTATTATATAGACCTCCTCGCATTATAAAATCGAAGCAAAGGGAAACCAGCGATGGAGTAGAGGTACGTAGACTGAAGAGATGCTTGCAAATTAAATAATGGTATTAGGGATAGTCAAATTTCTTGTTGGCAAACTTGGTCAATAGAAATCACAAGTCCAGAGAAAAGCTAGTTAATTTTAAATTCCCTGAGGTTCTTTTACTGAGATGTAAAGCAAGTAGTCAAGGAAAAACAAAGAGGGAGGGGTGAGGGAAGGGGGGGAACTGCATAAAGCACTTAGAGGTAGTTAATTAAAGTAGGTATGATAAGCTGCAAAGTTTTAAACCTACTAATTGCCACAATTCTATTTTAATCAGCTATTTAGCTGGTACCTACCGCTATATCACCTAGTGTGAAATTTCGGATTTAATGGAATAATGAAGGAAGCAGTGCAGCTGGAGGCTTCAAGTGGGCTTGGAAGGTAGGTTACTCTTTCAGCTTAAATTTGGAAAGTGTAAGGTTTTGGATGAGGGGGACTGGTGAACATTTAGTAATTAAACTAACGTGTTGACTGCTTTATACCAGACACTTGATTGGGAATGTAAAGATAAAAATCGACAGGGTTCTTGTAGCACAAGTCAGTGACCAATGGAAGTGCCAACCACTGTTAGTGGAACATGAAACAAAGTAGTGTGAGAGCCTAAAAGAAAGTGATGATCCTAATTCTAGAAGTTAGCAAGAGAGTGGAAGGTTATAGAGAAGGAGGTAGGAGAAGGGCATTATAAGTGAAGTGAAAAAATTTGAGCAGAGGTATGAATTCAGTTCATGGTGGCCAGAGGTATACTGGAGGTGGGACTGGCAAAACTTCGCAGTTTGAACTTGAAGTTGGATGGCAGAGTGGAAGAAGATTGGACTGGAGGGACCAGAAGTGGAAGTGTCAAGATCAACTTGGAGGCCTTGGAGGTCTGGTAGCAGTGTTTTAAGGGCCTAGAGCATGTTGAATGGTCCAACAATTCATTAATGCATTTTGTATCATTTTAATAGGTAAAGAAGAAAAAGTGCTAATGATTTAAGTTTATGAAATGATATTTGAAAAGTAATCCAAAAAAGTAATTATATTTAAACTTCTGTTTTTATCCAGGTCTCCAATTTATGCAGTCATTCTGCTGTGAAAATGAACTAACCTTGTTGTTATTGAAGGCCTTGGAAATTTTTACCAGCTGAGAGATTTTTCTCTTACTCAGGGTAAGATGTAATCGTAGTGTGCTAGAGCTGGAAGGGACTTGACTTACATAATCCATTTGCCTGATTTCATGTTACGTGTTATCAAACTGAAGCTGAGAAAGTAAGTGGCCTGCACAGCTTGTTAAATATCAAATTTAAATATCAAATTTGATTAGTACTCATCAATTCCTCCACCCCACCCCAACTCATGCCTTTTAAAACATGAGTGACTGTCACATGGAATTTTTAACATAATTGTTTAAGATCAATTTGAATAATACAGACTGCACCCAGCTTTGATTTGTGTCCGAAACGGCAGGCAGATGATCTTGCAAAAACTTCCTTCTCTTTTCTAATAACCTTCCCTTGTTAATGTCCAAGTCTTTCCTTTGGTGGCTGCCAGATGATTAGGATCAATAAAAATCTCTTAGAACATATATGCTTGACAGTGTCACTCATGATAGGGCATTTGGTAAACTATATAGCTTGTGTACCCTAACCCTCATAATGACAGCCATAAGAAGGTGAGCATGGGAGGGAAAATGCTACCGCTCTTGTGAAGTGAACTGGAGCAGGCCCCTACCTATCCTGAAAACGGGTTCAGAACAAAATAAAGTTTCAAAACATCTCTTCCTTGATCTGTTTAGCTTACCCGTGATAATCAGTAGGACCAGTAATAATGCCATAATCCTATCCACTGGTGTCTTCTTTCATACTTATCATTCCTTAACCAGAAAGGTCTCTAAGCCTGTGTTTTAAGTAATGTTGCTATTTATTAAACCAAAAATGATGAATGAATGAATAAATGCTGTGGACTTAGTTGGGTGTTGGGTGCTTTTTTTAAATGGCAGCCAGTTGAATTATAAATGTCTTTACATTAATGGAACAATATGTGATTCTGCAGTATTTTCCTTTGCACCAAACAAGTTTCTGAAAATATTTTTATGTGTGCCATGTACATATTTAAGTTCTACTTAAAAATAAAAACCCTGCCTACATCCAAAAAATATTTAGAGCAGCTAAAAACCACCTTTCCTTTGTGAGAGATGACTCACCTGTTGAAGTGGAAGAACAGGGTCAAGCAATGGGTACATTTTTAAGATAACAATTGCAAAGTGACGACCAATTAGTTTTAAGTCTGATATAACATCACTGGCTTTAGAAATCACAAAGTATCCCCTCATTTTTAACAGGGTACAGTAATACAGTTGTGATTTTTGTTTTTAAGGCAAGTTTTAACATCGAACTGAGATTTTATTTCTTGAAACGTCAGGTGTACTCACTGCTTACTATAAGGAAACACTTTTTCTAAGCATGTTAAACACGAGGTTTATTTTAAGTATGAGTCCACTATGTGCTATACTGACAGTAGATACAGGGCCAGAATAAGTTTGTAAATATTCATACACATGTAAAATGACTACAACTTACACATACTTTATTTACTTGGTCGAAAGCCTTGTGGTATATAAGATGCTTTCTATAGCTGATCTCGGCTTTGTTCACACCGAAGTGAGTTGTATCTGGGTTTTCTGTGCTCAAGACTGCTCAATTGCTGCTGCTGCTGCTGCCGCTGTTGGTTGGTTTTCTTTCAGGATCAAGGTGGGTACTTTCATATAAAATCTTGTTTTTAATTCCTTCTCTGGCAAGTCTTTCCTGGATTCTTAGCTTTGCATAATTATACCTACAATGGAACCTAGTAAGGAGAACATATTGATATAACATACCTGTAGAAACTAATTTGAAATTTGTAATCAAAATTTTTAAATGCTTACAGATGACTGTCAGTGGTTGTGAACACATTCTTAAGGTAGCATTTTCAGATGTTATGCCATAGGTAGGGATTGAAATGAGCATTAGGATAAGATAAAAGGTTGAGGCCTTCCTAAATGAAGTATAAACCCTAACATGGCATTAATGCAGTGCCTAATGCCATGCATTCATCTGTTCATTTGACAAATGACACAAAATGTGTGTGTATATATACATATTTAAAAGATTAAAGGCAGTCCGGCAATATCATTTTGTAAGATAAATTTCAGTGAGGGTGGGGAATCTCAGTGGGAGATTGCTCTGAGTAGAGCATGTGCTTTGGAACTAGATAAACCTATTACAATCGTGGATCTTCTTGAATACTTAGCACACATACCAGCATCCTAAAGTCACCAAGATAAATCCTCCTATTCCAATATCACATGATCTTCTAATTCTACCTGTCAAAAAGAAGCATAAACACTAATATACTGCATGTTATAATACTTCATCTAGGAAAAGAACTTCAGAGAAACATGTTTTTTATGCATAGAAGCAGATACTCACTAGTTAACAAAAAGTGTCCGAGGCCAGCCACAACAGATCCTAATGAGCCATACAATGTCGAATCCCGAGCACAGGGGATGTTTTCAACATCTAAAATTCCTAGGAGCTTAAAGGGCTACGAAAAATAAAAAAACTTAGGTTGGACAAGAGAATATTTTATTTTAGGGTGGTTTGACAAAGATTAAAACCATCTTTAATCATTCTGCTTTGGTATATAATATGAATCTAAAATGGAAACTCTGAGAATTTGACCAGAAAGTCCTAAGCAGGTAGGGTAAATTAAACCTAAATAGATTATGGTACCATGGTTATGCTATAATTTGTTAATCAACTGGTTTGGAGATAAGGTAAGGGCATACATTATTTTTTTAAACATCTGTATGAAATCATTTGGAGATTTGGCTATCATTGAAATTTAAAAGCAGCGTAATTTCCTTCTAATAACCTGAGACGCATAGATGGGAAAAGTGAAACTGTCCTAACCATGTTGCTTATATTAGTATACTGCTGTTTTAAATTCCTTTAAGGAGGACTGCAGATTTTGTGTTAACTAGTAACAACACATCAGTTGTATCTGTAAGAATAAATACTTTGTGTTGAGACAAATCTCGTCTGTTTCTTGCCTGTGATATGACGTTGCCATTGATTGTATTTCTTTGTTGATAGTACCTGGTAACCACACCTAGGTGTGATGAAAAAAGCTGAGAATCTAGAGGGTTGGATTTTATTCTCAGCTCTGCCACTAACTTCTGTAACCTGTAGGACATATTTTTTTATCTGGCCTGCAATCTGTAATGAAGGGGTTCAGCTAGGTGATAATTTAAGTTCCTTCAAGTGCTAAAATGAATGGTTTTAAAATTCTGTATATAGTCTTCATTGGATTTATGGATTTGTTCTCCCTCATTAAAAAATACTGCCACTTTAAGCATAACATTTTCTAACTTGAATATCTTGTCACTCTCAGTCTGTACTTAGGGGTTTTGGGAGGGCAGGACAGAATTTTTTTTATAAGGCACACTTATGTTTTGCTACAGCATTCTCCTATTCATAAAAAAAAAAAAGGAAAACTTAAGGTACTGTTTTCAGTTAATGTAGCTTTTCAGTTAATGTAGCTTTTAAAAAGGAAGCCACTTGTCCATTCTTTGGGATGAGATATACCTAGATGGTAATATACTGTAAGGGAAAAAGAGTGGAAGAAATGGGAAAAGGACAGTGAAGGGCAAGTCAGACTAAAGGTTGAAACATGAAGGTATTGTGTTTGCTTTGGCTCAGGCTTCTGCAGGAAAGACAATGTGACTCGGTTCCTAATAAAGCAAAAGTTATACACTCTTGGATCATTATGTTCCTTTTTTTTTTTTTTTTTTATGGGGATAGCTAAGACTTCTAATCTTAAAGTATGCTGTTCGTTTAGCTATTCTAAATTATCATAGGCACATAAAAGCCACTTAAGTAGTGGCATTTTTTTTTCTTTTTTTTTTTTTTTTTTTTTGCCTCTGCCTGTTCCCTCCCCCCCCCCAACATGTTTACTTCGTGAACACAGCAGGTGCTCATTGAAGTTGCAGACTTGAATGTTAAAAGGCCCTTTAGTACAAATCTTCATGTACAAAGAGGTTGGGATTTAATTCTACTTCTAGGCTTTTCATTTAATTTAGCAAAAGATGATTCTCACCCTCAGGTCAAGAGCCAGGTGGAATTTATGGCCCCGAAGGGGAAGGAGGGTGTGATTTGTTCTGCAGCTAGGCCATTGCCCTGCGGGAAGGATGCTAAATAGACTGAGATGGGGTGGTGGTGTTTAATGTCAGATCTTAGAAGCGAGTGAGACCAGCAGCTTCTACCACGGGGTAGAATGTTAAGATGGCTTTCACATTTAAGCAGAGAGAAAGGAACTATCAAGTGTTGGCCGCAGCATGCCAAACACTGCACATCTCTGCCAAAGACAGCACTTCTTTCAAGGCTTCTGGGCTTTTTCATTTGGATTCCGTTCCATAATGGAGCCCTAGTGTGACCCCAGGATACGCCAGAATCTGCAAACTTTGCAGGGGGGGGGGGGCATTTGGATAAAATTATCAGCCCCAGTTCTTTGCCAATTGTGTAAAATAAACGTGAACATCTGAAATGGTGCTGTTTGTTTAAATCAGCTAGGTAGGTAGCTTTCTGAGCTTTTTAGAGATTTTCAAATCCCACCCTCAGATTCTGACTCAATAGGCCCCAGGCATTTATGTTTAGGAAACCGCCCACCCCCCAGCTGGGAGAAACAGTGCTTTAGAGACTAGAAAAGTAAAATTTTGAAATTGCAGATAATGGAATAATCCAGTTTATTTTGAAAGATAAACATATCCTTTTTAAGGGGTACCTTCTAAAACCAACAATGTGGGTTAGAGGCCAAGGATGCTACTGCTAAAGGTCCTGCAATGCATGTATCACATACAAAACTGCCTTGGTCAATGTCAGCGCCAAGGTTGAGAAGCCAATGCTTGTCGAATTAATCTCATAATTTAGAGGTGCCAAGGACCTATTAGTGCCCGGCCCTTTATATCCCTTGTTTTTAATTCTCACAACCTCTTTGTGACATTTTCTCTGCAACAGGCTCAGGGTTTAAATAGAAGGCTATTAAGTGCTGACAGAGTGGAAGTGGAAGTCAGTGTGACCCTGAAAGCCTGTCATTCCCACTGCAGCATTTAACCCTTTGGTTTTTTAGTAAACACTAAGGTTCACATATAGAGAGTAATAGAACTGAGTACGTAACTGTAGATCTGCAGTTTGTATCAAGACTGGGTAAGGATGTACAAAGACTTTTTCCCCTTTACTAGTAGGGAATTTTCAGCCTCCTGGTGAAGTTGGAGTTTAGACTGCTGATGACTTAAATACAAGTATGGAATACTGACTGTAATGAAGTCTTGAGCTTATATTTTTGAGAGTACACTGAACTTTGATTCTCAGAAATGGAAATAAAGGGTCTAAGCCTGAAGTCACTTTGAAGTTATGTTTGTAATGTTCAAGGCATTTAACATTCCTTTTATTCCCTAGTTGCCTGCAAACTTAAGGTTCACCTGCTATTAACAAAGCCTTTAAGCGTAAACTAAAATTAGACTTTTTTTTGGTAAGCTAATATTTTTAAGCTTAGATTTAGAAAGGCAGCCTTACCAGCACACCTTGATGGAATTAAGGGAAGCTCAAAAAATTTCTAAGCCAGAATATGCCAGTTTAATAATTTATAGGAAACGGATCACATCAAGTCTGAGCTACTTCATTTCCCACTGTTAAATGTATCTGCATCAGTGCTCATATTCTGCCTCTCCTTTTGTTTCAAAGGAGGAACTGGCCCTACTATTTAAAACTAATCCTCACTTTGCCGTTGATTCCTTTATCCACTCTCAAAAGACTGCTTCTGTGGTTAGCCCATCTTTCATTTGCATTACTTGTTTTTCCTCCTTTTAATAATCTCCAGTCTAGAAACATACAAAATAAATCCCCCTCTCTTGACACCCTTTCCCCCCAAGCCACCATCCCATTTTTCTGTTCCCTGTCACTGCAAAACTAAAGTCACCTGTGTGTGCTTCACTTACAAACCTACGCTCCCTTTAACTTGCTTCAACCAGACATTTACCAACTGTACTCGACGGAAACAGCACCGAGGTTTTCTAAAAGACAATCGTTCTGTAAAATCCATCATACTTTACATCTCAGCACACGTGGCACAGATAATCATTTGTTTTGAAACATTTTCTTTGTTTCAGTATTAATCAAAAATTTTTTTCATGTAGTTCTGTATTTTCTGGATTCTCAGTGGGTTAAACCACCCTCATGACCCTAAAATGACAGCAGTTGTCTCCTATCAAAGGTGAACAACCAGATACAAAAAGGATGAAAGCCCCATTCAAGATCCCAGTGCTCTCACAAAACAATCTAGAATTTTGTGTTTGTAGTTATGGTGCCCCTTGAAATATACAAGTTTCAAACAAGGGTACATTTTGTTAAAGTAAGCATATTCCAAATAGTATGTGAGACGTTAAAAACAGAAAAGGCGCCAACACTGTATAAATTGACAAAATTTTTTGAAAACAAATATGGAAACAATTTACCCAACATTTATTCATAACCATTTAATGATCTAGGCCAAATTTAGATGGAAAATTCCCCAGAGAAGCAAGAACACTGAATAAGTGATCAAAATTTTCAAGCTGAGCAGAGAATATCCTAAAACTATAGGTGCAGTGTGGCACACAGTGTGGGTCTTAAATATTTGTGAATCTAATTGATCCAACGTTAATCTCTCTATGGCTTACTATTTAAAACTGTTTCTTCTTCCATTACTTTTTTTAAACACTTGTTATTTACTCTGCATTGAGGATATAAAAATTTGGTTCCCTGCTCTTAAGACACAAATTAACTTCCAGTATAATGTTGTAATGATCCAGCAATGTACAAGGTGTCCGGGAGATAGGAGCAGAAGCACCTCAGTCTCTTGAGGAGTCGGGAAGCCCTTCAGGGGAGACCGGAGATAACCCTGTTTAACTTTAATACACCCGGAGAGGAAAGCATGAGAAGAGTCACACGGGTTAGTTAGGTGATGAGCTTTGTATCACAGGCCGAGAAATTCGGATTTATCCTGAAAGCAATGGGCAGCTACGACTGGTTTTAAGCAGAGAGGTGGAATTATGCATTTTACAGGGTAGACCACAAGGACGACTGTGGAAGGTGAAGCGAGAAAGGCAGAGCAGGAAGACCAATGCCAGCCAGCGAAGCTACTGGTTACATATGATACTGCATACTCCACGTGGTCGAGTGAAAACAAGGTTAACGGGAAAAAAAATCTCAATCTTTTCATCACCCTCCTGCTCTGGATATAAATTCAGTCGAATTCAGAACTTGGTTATATATAACCAAGTTCTCCTCAGCATTTACCGACAAATTTACCGAAAAAATACCGACTCCTGTTAAGTGTTGTGAAGTATACAGCCTTAAAGACAAGGCACCTGTCCTCAGCTTTTAAATCCCTCTCTTTGCTAGTAAATTACAATACTAGGCCCGTGTCAAAAAAACTTTCTTTCCAAAGGGATCAGTCTTGTGACTTGCAGTAAGCTATAGGTACCGGTCCCCTCATCCTCCTAGTTTGGGTCACTTAAATAGTGGCAATTAAGATAAAAATGTCGGGGGATGGGAGGAGGGAAGCTGTTCGATTGCAGAGAAGCTAATGACACGTGCTCCCGGCCCGGGTCTCCCAGCTCTAGAGGCCGCGTCCTTAGGCGCCGCCCGCCCGTGCTCCGTGCGCCCCGCCGCACCCCGCCGCATCCCGCCGCATCCCGGATTACCTTCCCCTTCCCGTGCTCTCCGGCCTCCGGCGCAGCCGCCATGGGGACAGCCGGCGCCTCCACCCCGCCCCGTCGCCGCCGATGGCCGCCGTGAGCGGACGCCCCGCCCCGCCCTGGCCAGCCCGGCCCGCGCCTGCGTTCGCGCTGTCCGCCATTTTAGGGAACGTTTCCCAGTCTCCGCGGCGGCAGCACTGGCCGAGCAGGTTGCCTTTGGTGTGGCCGCCATTTCCTTTGTTCAGTTGAACGGATCACGTCTTCTCTACCGGGGCTCTCCGCAGCCCGAGGGCCTGGACCAGGGGAGGAGGAGAAGGACTCGTGAAGCAACCGCGCACCCGGACTCTTGGCACTTCGAGGCTGCGCCTTTTCCCGCCCCCGCCCCTCCTCTCGCCCCAGCCGCCATTTCTAACTGTCGTCCGCGCGCGTGCGCTCGCTCCCGTGCGCTCGCTCCCGTGCGTAGGCGCTGGGCGCGCGCGGCGGGGCGGCCGGGGCCGCGCGGAGGGGGCGTGCGCGCCGCCGCCGCTTTGTCCTGGGAACGGGAGCCTCCACCCCCCCTCCCCCAAGCCCTCGGCCCGGAAGTCGGCCCGTACTGGCTTGCGGCCCGCGTCCCCTTCGTGTCCTTTGTTTGCCCGCCCGGGACGAGTCCTGGGCGACCCCGGCAGCTCCACCCAGCGCCAGCCACCGTTTCGCCCCGAGCGAAAGTGTGGCCCAGCGCTCACACCGCTTACTCCCTGCTTTGGTTTCATCAGGGAGGGGCTTTAAAATAGCGCCACTCGGTTTGCCTGAAGGAGACTGGGGACAAAATGGAGGGAGGACCTTGTCAGGGAAGACGCGTCAGGACGTTTGTGCCCGCCGTGTAGGCGGGGAAGGCAGGCGGGGTGAAGTAGAAAAAGGCCTGCGACACGCGTTTTTGCATGTTAGGTAGTGTTCCACGTATACTCCACCCTACGACTGCGACTTAGCGTGAAATCTGCGTGTTGGAGACAGCAGTCGTCTGGTGTGAGATAGGGCTTGACCGCTTTCTCAGCCCTCTAAGTCAATACAATTCCTTTTCCCGTCTTTTTTTTTTCTATGCACCGTAAGGAAAATGTCCCTAGCAAAGCCATAATTATGCCTCCTTTGTTTATGTACCTTTACATTTCAAAGTATATTCCTGGGAAAATGTTCAAGCTTTAGAGTATGTCATTGTGCAGAGTCATGCTGCTGTGCACACAGTAAGGGCTGGATAAGGTTCGCGGTGATTGTTTGCTATCAGCTGTCAGTGAGGTGTTTTCTTATTCCTTATGCTTTCATGATCATTTAATACCTTTCTACAGACCCAGTAAAACACACAACTTACGACCTACGTGTGATTTTTTTTAAAAAAATAAGTGACTTTGGGGGAGATACTGCTCTAATATTAATTAGGAAGTAGAATAAATGTCACCCCGCCCACGATATCTTGCCAGTTTGGGGTTCTTAGCTGGAAATCTTGCGCTAACTATGCTTTGAACTCTTGGTCTGGAAGGTAATATTTAAGGCAGTAATAGTCCATAAAAGAGTGAGGAATTCTCTTGAAGTAATTCCTAATAATTTTGTAAAGGAAGGAGAACTGGAAAGTACCAGGGCCATCCTACTTTATTTTTTATTGTGACTTTGAAAAATTGCTAGGGTAAACTTAGGGTCCATTTCATTTGTCTTTGAAAAGTATTTTCATACATTATTTCTTTATATTAAAATTTTTAATTTCACAAAAATGGCATGTTTGATTAATTTTTATTTTCATATTTTATAGAGTGAAAAGTAAAAATCTTTTTCACTTTAACCCCTTTTTTCTCCCCTAAAGTAAACACAACTAACAGTTTAATACGGCTCTTTCCAAACTGTTTTCTTTTTTCTCTTCTTTTTAGTTAAAACAACCCTGGAATATAGGCTAAAAAGTAAAAGTCTCTTTATACCATACCTGCCCCCGTACAAGTGTGTCTGTATATGACAGACATATCTAAATGACTATAGTATGTAATTTGCATTCAACAATTTACTTTTTACCATTTAACACTGTTATGGAAAATTTTTTCATGTAATTATCTAAAGATTTACTCATTCATTTTAATGGCTGCTCAGCAATCCTTTAATCATTTTCCTTCTGATTGACCTAGAAAGTTTCATTTTTTTCACTAGTCCAAGAAATGCTTCAATGAGCATTTTTATGCATATATCTTTGTGCACAGGTTCAAGTATTTCTGTAGGATAGATTTCTGGAAATGGCCTGATTCAAAGGGGTAGGTGCATTAAAATTTTTAATACTGCTAAATTGCCTTCCAAAACTACTGCCTATTTACATTCCCCATTATAACAATGTATGAGAATGCTTGTTTCCTCACAACATTTTTAACACTGCATAATATCATATTTAAAATTTTTTGTTGATCTGATGGGTGAAAAATGGTGTCTTGATTGCTTTTAAACTTTTAAACTGATTACTAGTATGGCTGAACATTCTTTCAGATGTTTATTAGTCATTCTTTTCCTAAAAATTTCCTAAAACTTTACTTACTTGTTAACTTTGTTTATGGAGTCTTTCATTTTACAAACAACTTTCTATTTTGTTTTATTATATTTTTTTATGGAGTCCAATATGTCAGTGTTTTCTTTTATGGCTTTTGATCTTGTGTCTTCCTGAGGCCTTAAGGGCTTCTTGACTCCCATAATAAAAAAAAATATTTGAAAATAATTGTCATATGCTTTCTCATTAATAATTTTGATTATCTCTTTTCCTATTCCTTAAAAGACCAACTTTTGGTATTATTGACCAAGGCTATTTTTTTCCATTTCATTTTATATTTTACATTTTTTTCTCTTAATGTGGTATCTATTTTGTTGTCTTTTTTCTATCTTTTTGAATCGACTACTTAAGTTCACATATTCTCCATCTTTCTTGATTTGTAGCAAATGTATTTAAGGCTGTAAAATTTCCTCTGAGAATCATTTTATCATATGTTGTCACAGATTTTTGACAGTTAATATTCCTATCACCATTCTTTTCTAAATTTTCTATAATTTCAGCTTTTCTTTCTTTTCCAGTAAATAAATTTGGATATGCTTTTGGTATTAATTTTTAGGTGTTTTGTTTTACACTGTGGCCCGTGTATTTCTACTCTTGGGGAATTTTTTTATTTGTGTGTGTGTGGGTACTACCTAAGAGATCATTTTGTACATATTCCATATGCTTTTGAAAAGAATGCATTCTCTATATTAGCATTGTTAAGCTTCTTCATTATAGTAGTATATTGTATACATTATAAATATATAAAATATATAACTATATGATAATCACATAAATTAAGTTTATTAATTGCCATTCAGCTGTCTTTTTGCACGGTAAGAGTTGTTTCATTGCAAGCAACAGACTGACTTTAGTTAGCTCAAAGAAGAAAGAAATTTATTGGGAAGACGTGGAGAAGCTTAATGAACTGATAAAGAGTTTAAGAGTCAGGCCTTGAAAAGGACAACATCCAGGACAGTCCCAGGGGTCTTGATAGCAAGAACTAAAGGAGTGGCTTTTCAGGATGACAGTGGTGGCCTGTTCAGTCTTATTTCTACTATCGTGCTTTGCTTTTCAACCATTGCTGTCTGCTGCAAGACTCCCTGTTTGGTATTGGATGCAGATGCCCCGAATGAGTGGGTAGTTTAGCACAGTGGGTTGAGTTGGGGCCAGAGAATCTCTTCTTTAAGAGTTCCTTCTCTCATGGTGGCTGTAAATCCCCTGGCACACGGCCCAGAGTGCCTGCTTTCATCCTCTCATCTGGGAGAGACTGTCTGGTGTCAGTAATCCCACACTAGAAAGCTAATAGTTATCTGTAGGCAGCAGGATGGTGAGGGGTGAAATGGTTGTATCGTTCTAGGGATTTGGTGGGGCTGTGCTGGCAAACCCGCTTTTCGAGGTTCTCAAGCTTGTGTGGGGTTGTTTTTTAATCAGGAATATTGTGTTTAATAATCAGTCTGATTGCAACTTCTCTGTATCGTTCAGAAGTTCCTAACTGTCCTGGTCTGCTGCTGGTACATTATCCTGTCTTTCCAGCAGAAGTATCAATTTATTTTTATTTTTGTATTCCTTTTTTCATTTCGATAGGTTTTGGAGGAAGGGGTGATAAAAAATTGGGTTCAATCAGCCCTCTGTAACCAGAAGTCTGAATTTTCCTGCTCTTCTTTCCTATCCGTGTGTGTCCTGTGTCCATGCGGGTGTGCACATGAGCATGTGTTGAAGTCTAATGGTACTATAAAGAAAACCAGCGGTTTTCCACCACACTTCTCTTCGTTCTGAAGTTCTGCACCCCACAGGCAATGACTTTTATCTCTTTTGGCCCATTCTTCTGGTAGTTTACTTTCATATTTCTAAATAAAATGCTCATTCTCCTATTTCTTAATTTTTCAGTTTTAGGCATTATCTATTGATAATGAAAATTTATCTCTTTTCTACTCCTTTCCCTTCCCCTCATCCTCTCAGTACGGTTGTGTCACATTTTAAAAAGCTAAATACGCATTCAGCATGTACATTATTATGGCAGTGTAAATGGTCATAGCTGAGCCATGTGGGGTACTATGATTTCATTTCTTTTCTTGTAAAATTTAAAATTTTTCCTGGAGTTAATAATTGCTTTGTTTGCTAAATCTTGTTAAAGCTAGCTCTTATTGACTCTTCCTTCCTTCCTTTTCTTTTTTTTCTTTTCTTTTCCTTTTCCATAAGAGATTATCTAAATTTTAGCATATAATACTCATTTGGCTCATGGGACATTTGGCTGTTGGGACAAATGAGTATTACATGCTCTTTTTTTCCCCCTTACTAGCTCTAAAGAGCCAGTTGTAGACATCTCTTGCCAACTCTGTGTTCAGTGACTTTATCCTGGTAACTTAAATTTGGCTATGGTGGAAGTATTTATGCCATAGAAGTCAACAAATGCTACAAATCAGTGCGTCTTTCTTTTTTTTTTTTTTCCTTTTCAAACAGGTGGTTTACCAATATACCAATGAATGCACCTGTCATTGATTTTTCTCTCAAAATTCTC